AGCACTAAGTGTTCGCATTTGTACTGGGGGTGGGGAACCCCCCCATTATAATCCAGGGCCTCTTCCCTTTATTCCTGAATAACCACTGTTTATTCTCTCTTAGCCTCTGGATTCTCCCCAACTTTTCAATTTTCTATTCCAGTTGATTAGCCTCATTAATATCCTTAACTCCATCCAATTACTCCTTGTTAACTCCAAGTGCCTCGTCAAAGCCGACATCAAAGCCACCACTGTAAGACGTCACTCAGCCACACCCTGTTTTCCAACCCAGGCCTTCCACTCCTCCCAGGGGTCGCTGTTTCCCCACCTTCCCTTATTCACCCCAACTTCCGCGCCTCTGGGTTGCCCCCCCCCCCCACCTCTCATTTCCTTTCAGATCTACCGCAGTGCAGCTATAAACCTTCCCTATTGTCCCATCTTGGAAAATCGATCCTTAATGTGAATTTCTTTAACTGGGTCTTCTCATCACTGGTTTCCTAGAGCGTCAGTGAGCACCTGCTGAATGGCCGAACGTCTGCAAGACCGAAGCATGCAAACCACTCTCTAGGCAGTCTGTCGGTGCCTTTGAACTTTCTTGGAGAGGCTGGACACACCTCAGGGTGAGAGCTCATGCCCGATGCCACCCCCTTCAGGAGATCTGCTGCCGGACACCGAGTAGGCACCCAGTGGACGCCTCCCCATGGCCATCTGCTGACCTGAACGGAATTCAACTACATCTCCACTCCCACCGAAACCCACCATGGAATCAGCCTGAAGACGGGCTTTGCAACTCAAAGAATCGGACAAAAAAAGGTCAGAGTATTATGAAAAGGTAGATTACTGGCCATGTTTTAAATCTTAAATTTTGATGCCTATTTTTTGGGGGGTCCTAGTAATGATCTCAAGTATTTCAAGTTAAGTGTAGCAGATGAATAGCTCAGAGCAGAGCCAGACAGTCTGCACGTGCTCAGTGCTGACTCTCTCCTGCTCGCACGGCATGTCGTTCTGTTTGTTTTTCTCGAGAGGAGGCCTGAACATTTGGTTCTGTTTCTAGTTTGCTGGGCACGCGGAGAGCGGAGGTGCCCCCCACATCGACGCACCGCCTGTTCCGGAGCAATACCTGGCACCCACGCAGGACAGTGCAGGGAAGTGACAGGACTTCCCCGGGGGAGGGGACAGTCGACAGGACCACCTGCCACTCCGCTCCTTAGGGGGAAAGCACCTGGAAGGTGACACCATTGTGACAGTCAACCCTTTCGTCCCCCGAGCAGCGTTTCTCAAACAGTGGGCTTGAGTGTGGCCACCTCGCCCCCAATTCCGTGTGTGTGTGTGCCTGTCTCTGTCTGTGGCGGCAGTGGGGGGGGGCGTTGGAGACTTTCCCAGGGGGCACTCCCCTGCACATTCTGGGGCCCGTGGGTCTGGGGCAGGACCTTGGCAGAAATCTGCTTTTAGCGAGCTCTTCAGGTGACTCTCATGCTCAATAAAGCTCGAGAACCAGGGCAGTCTGACACTGGCCTTCAAGTCAGAAGGGGACGCCCACGCATCAGGCTGAGAAAACGAAAAATGCAGCCTTTCTTTCCTGAAGCACAGACACTCAGGCTAGCCTCCCAGGACACCTGCAGCGAGGGGCCCCCGCCCTCCGGCAAGCAGATGCCCAGCTAGCAGGGTAGTAGTTCACACCTGCTCCCATCCCCCGACTTGGCCACCACCTACCTGTCCAGGTAACCCAGGCTTCAGACAGACACTGTTCCCACGTCACTAGGCGGGGATGAGACTCTTAAAGCTGTCCCACTTAAAACAGGGAGGGACAGGTAAGTGTTCTCCCCTTTGAGAGTGAGAGGTCCCAGGGGAAAGGCACCCAGCTCAGATACTGGGGGACCCTGGGACACCACACCCTGGGCCCACTTGGGTCCGCAGCCGAAGGGCCCCTCTGCACCAGGCAGCTCGAACACAGGCACATTCTCTGAAGACGTAGCTGGCAACACCTTCCTTCTCGGGGTAATAGTGGAGGACTGAAGAGCTCCACCCCACCCCAACCCCGCTCCCCCGTGAGAGGGAAAATCCGCTTGATAAATGTGGCCTGGAATGGGCTGTCCTGCACAGCCAGGACAGACTACACACAGCTGGAAACTGCTCTTAAACAGTCAGACGGCTCGTGCTGGCGGCAGCAAGCTATCCCGGGGCTCCAGTGAGGCCCGGTGGCGGGGAGGAGGGGGACGGAACATCGTTTTAGGCAGAAAGGCCGAGCTGGTGTGCAGGTTGACCATGCCCTTGAAGCCAGAGCTGGACATGGAGGGGCGGGGCATGAGGACCTGAAGGATGGACAGTTGCATTTTTGGCCAAAACCACCACAAAGAGGAGGAGTTCTTGTCCTCAGAATGTTAGGCAACGGCCACTGAAGGTTACAGGCAGCGGGACCGTGGCAGCCAGAGCTCGGGCCTTGGGAGGGAGGGGTGGATCGCAAAGTGGGAAGAGCTAACGAGAGCCCCGGGGGCGGCAGCAAAGGAGCCTTCCCTGCCCACGGAGACCTGCCTCCTGCCCCGCCCGGTCTCCTGCGTGGGGGTCACAGGTACGGGGCACCGGGGACAGATAGGACAGCGAAGGAAAACTGCGTCCACCTTTTGGGGCAGGGGCGGGAGGTGTCACGTGGGCACCAGGTGAGGAGACGAGAGTGCTTGAGAATCTCCAGGTCAACTTACTGGCTCACCAAGTTTTACTCGAAGCGTGAGTTTTTAAAAGTCTTTTTACAGGTGGCCACGCTCCCTTTTTAGTAATTTGAACAGAGCAAGTATCTAGTATCTGTCCACGAACCAACCATGCGGGCGGATGAAATCACGAAAGCCCGAGGGGCCCGCCTTTGCTGCAGCTCACCCTCCGCTCCGGCCAAGGCCTGGAAGCAGCAGCCTGTGGCGTGCTGGGTCGGCGCACGGAGACCCAGAGTGACAGCAGCAGCGGTGGCAGCAGGGAGCGACGGTGAGCCGCGCTGACGCCACCCAGGGCCGGCTTTCAGAGAACCCCGTGCCGTCCCAGTCCCAGTCCCAGTCCTGGCCCCGGCCCCGGCCCCGGCCCCGGTCCACCCTCCTTCAGCCCTCCTCCCCGGGCCTCCCCCTCTCCCTCCAAGCCCCGGAGGCTTAAGAAGCCAGTGAGGGGAGAGGAAGTGGGTGAGCAGGAGGCGGTGGCAAGCGGAGGCACCTCCCCAGACGGGAAGATGCAAGCACACCTGAACGGAGAGGGAAAGAACCTGCTGGGGAAGGAAGGATGCAGGGACCTGGGAAGGAGCTGCTGCAGCCCAGCAAATGCCTCCCAAAGGGAGGGTGGGCCAGGGCGGGGAGACAGCGAGCACAGGGGGAGGGGCCTGGAAACCTGTGGGGGGGGAGGTGAGGGAGGGGAGAGGGCACTCAGGGGAGGCTGCAGGCTGAGGGATGGGGTGGAGGGACTGGCCCAGAGGTTGGCGCGTCACTGAACAAGGGGAGCCGACTGGTGGAGGGCCAGGTGACGGGCCCGCTGTGCCCACCCGCCTGGCTCCAGCTTGTTTTCCGGCCTTTTCTCTGTGGCCTGGAAGAAAGCACGGCGAAAGCACGTCCACGACTGGCGTGCAGACACAGACGAGCCCGGATGCTGGTGTTCCTGCTATGTATCAGCCTCTGACGCGAGTCACGAGCCCTGACTTCTCGTGGGAGTTCGGTTTTGTTTCTCGCCACCTTCCACCTTCACCGGACTGTTCAACGTCACCCCCAACACAGCCCGACGCCGTCTCCACAGACCGTCCTGCTTCCCACTCTACCCACTCCTTCCTGCGCGGCCACCACGTGCCGGAGCAAAGTGCTTCACCACGTCACAGCCCGCTGCCACCCCGACAACCCCACGAGGCCGGTGACCGACCTCTCCAGTTTATGGGTGAGGAGCTGGGGCACAGAGAAATGAGGGAGCGAGCCCGGGTGGCACAGCTTAGAGAGTGCAGGGATCAGGGTCAAGTCCAGCTTCTCACTCCAAAGCCAGTGCTCTCATCTGCCCTACCCCGCCCCACCCCGCCCAGCCTAGAGCACCAGTTCTCAACCCTCGCTGCGCAGTGAAACCCCCAGAAATGCTGTTGAAAACGTGTCTCTCCCAAAAGGTATCGATTTAGCTTGTGGGGATCGGGACCCAAGTCAGGTTACTTGTTAAAGCCCCCAGTGATGTTTAACGTGGAGCAGCGGCGGCAACCCGCATGCCAGGCCCCCCGGACGGTCCCTGCTGCATTCCCGGCACTGTGCCCGGCTCGGGTGGGGAGTGAAGTAAACCCTTGAGGAGTGAGTGAAGGAGTGAGAGCCGTGCTCTTTCCTACAATCCTCCCACCGCCTGCTGACCACCCTGACCCCAAACTTGGCCTCCTCTCTCCAGCAGCGAGCCGACAGGCCCTAAGCTAGTCCGTCCCTTCTCGGATCCCACCTCCGCGGGTACATAAACGCCGTTTCAGAGCATCACGTCCGTGCGTCCTGCTACCCGCTGCCGGTCTAACGCCTCGGTGCACGCTCCACATTTGAGGGTACAGTTGGAGCCTCCTGGTCAGGTATTTAAGACCCCAAAGCCCAACATGTCCTTTTGGTCACGGCTTTCCCCCTCCACAGGTCCTCTGTTCTGGCCAGGCAGGGGTCCCTGTCTCCCACGCGTCCTGCGCATTCTCGCCACAGTGCCTTCAACAACGCATGCCCCCCTCTCTCCCCAACCCATGTCTGGATCCGACCACCCGTGAGGACCGGACTCCCCTGCTCCGCCTCTGCCCAGACCCCCAGCCCCAGGAATCCCGTCCAACTCTGAACTTGCGTGCCAAGGGTCCCGCCCGGCTCCCTTCTGACTTCTAACAGCTTCTAATCGCCATTTCCACGCGCCCACACCCTAACTTCCGGAGTAAGTTTCGACCCCTTGAAGGCGGCCACCGCAGGCAGAGGACTTTCTCTCCCCTGCAGTGACCGGCAACTGCACATCCTCCGTGCGTGCCGCCGGGCGGTCAGCGTCTTCTGTCTCCGTGCCCACGGTCTTACCTGTAGTATCTGGACTGCAAGTAGGTGGAGCACACGGCCTTGGACACGTGACTGGCCGAGCCGAAGTCGATGACCTTCACTCTGTAGGGCTGTCTGGATGGGTCCACCAGCATGATGTTTTCCGGTTTGAGGTCCGCGTGGATGAGACCCAGGCTCTTGAGTTTCATCAGGGCCGTGGCCACCTGCTGGAGCACTGGGCGAATGTACTTGAGGGGCAAGGGGCTGAACTTGTTCTGCTTCAGGAAGTCGTAGAGGTTCTGCTCCAGCATCTCAAAGACCAAGCATGTGTGATTCTTGTGCTGGAAGCACTCGTAGGCCCGGACGAAGTTGTAGTCGTCCGCACTCTCTGTGCTGAGGCGGGCCAGGATGCTGACCTCGATCTGGCCTTGCCGGGCGTACGACGGGTGGTTCTTCAGGATCTTGATGGCCACGATCTCGTTGGTGCCCCTTTTCCAGCACTTGACCACCTGCCCGAACGTCCCGCGGCCCAGGAACTCGAGGACTTCGTAAGTGTTGGTCATGGAGCACAGCACCTCGTGCTGGACCAGCTGGTAGTCGCCTTCGCTGTTGGAGCCGCTGTTTTTGGACGTGGCCGTCGATGTGGTGGCAGTGGCGACAGTGGCCCCGCTGGCATTGTTCTGAATCATGGGTGGGTGCTCCTCGATGATCTGCACGCTGCTCGTGTTCTCGATCTCCTCGCTCTTACGCTTGAGTCCGCATTTTTGGTAGGTGTCAAGGAGGCTCACAGTGCTTCGACGCATTAGGTTGTGTGGTCCGCCGAGGACCTGCCCAGTGACAGAGGTGCTGCTTGCTGATGTGACGACGATGTGCCCGGTGCTTCCTGGGAAGATGATGGTCTGCTCGTAAGGTAGGCTCGGGTTCGGGATGGGCAAGGAGGTGCTGACGGCTGTGGTGGCTGGCTGAGAAGGCGGCACGTTCTTGCCCTGGCTGTACGCTTTGCTGTGGGGGCCGTACCCGGTCATGTCCCAGGTGGAACTCGGCTCTACTTTCAGTTTCTTCACACTACAGAAGGCACTTGATTGAAGGGTGTGAGGGGAGAAAACTTGTACATGTGAGGCCATACCTACAAGGAAAAGAGAGGGGAGAAGAAATGTTTCAGTCGCCACGGCATGAGCAAGTTCGGCAGGCTCACCTATGTGCGGGCCGGTGGCTGGGGGCCCACGGGATGTTTGCCTCCCACCTGAACAGGGCTGGAAAAGTGAACCTGTTCTGCCCAGAAGCACAGTCTGGTCACTCAGTGTGGGGGCCAAGTAGTTCGGGGTCCCACCTGCCACAGTGAGGGGGTGGGAGTAGACTTGTAGAAGAGAGTCAGGGACATACTAAAGGCTGAGATACAGAAGCAGAATGCCAGGGCTTTGCGCGTTATTTACGTTTGTTATACATATCTGCGATGGGAACAAATTCTTCCTCAGTTCTCACTGGGCCGCACTCCTGCTGAAACTGAGGACTGTAGCAGGTGGCCCGGGGAACTGTTATGTGACTGTCATGTGTGTTGCCCTGCATGGTCGGCTCTTCCTTGTCACAGACTGACCATCTGGTCCAGTCATGTGAAGACACATCTGGCCACACGGGTCCCGTCATGGAGCTGCTCGTGATCTGCTAGCTTCCGGGTGACCCACAATTACCCCTTGGATCTTATTCTTAAATTACTCTTAAATGCATCCTGTAGGTTTGAGAAGATAGGCAGTTGCTCTGATGTCTTCATGTAGATCGTCTAAAATTTTATATCAGCCTTTTAGAGGAAGTGGGCAGTACAATTCATGGGTTTTATTCACTAACTTTTCCTGGTAAGTGTATGTATCAATAAATTAACTCATCTAGAAAGTATTATTTCATACCAACATCTCACCCACAATTGAGAGAACCTCAGGAATCTGTAAGAGCCTATCTCTCGAATGGCTGTGCTATTTATAACTATGGTAATACTAGAAATTTAAAAAAAATCATAGAAAATGTGTTAGGAGAAATAAGACAACGAGGAAGAATAAGTTCTTAGAAGTGAAAGTGGAAACACTTTTCCGACTGCCCGTCTTCTAGGCTGCAGTTCACAACCATCTCTCATACGGGTACAAGGGAAGTTCAAGGTTCCCGTGCAGCACCAACCTAATGCCTGTGTCTCTCTGATCCCCCCCCCCCCCCGAACATGACCCAGGGTGGTATTTTTAACATTTTCCTTTTCACACCACCACCCATCACCCTAGTCCACCCTCTCTCTCAGAGGCCACCCACCTCCCACTCCGTCCAGAACCCTAAGGTCAGCAGTCCTGCTTTCCACCTTCATTCTCTTCATTTCAAAGCATTTCTGAATCAACATCCGCCCACCACTGTCCCCCTCCCTGGTCTCAGAGGAAGGAGCGTCTCTCCTTTCCAGCACTAAAAGTTCCCCTAGTTCTCGTGATTCCTCCTTTCCATTTTCTCTCGAACCCTGTTTCCCTCACTGTCCTCTCTTTCTCTTACAGCTTTCCATTTCTCCCTGGTAACTGGGTCCAAGTCCTTAGCAGTTATTTAATTAAGTCTGGCCCAATGCACCAATGACTTGTCTTCTGTGTGCACAGGTGTGTCCCACACAAATGCCCAACTTGGAAGGCCAAAGTCTCCCCTTTTACGTCTTCTCACCTGAAATCAATGGTTTATGCTCCCTGTTCTTCAAGTTTCACTCCTTAATCCATCTCCTCCTGCACCTACACACGCACTGTGAAGCTATTCTCAAAGCTGAACGACTTCCTAATTGTGGAATCCAGTGGCCTTTGTTCAGCCCTCCGTCTTTCTCCTGGGTCTTTCTCCTCCCTGATCTCCCTGCGACATCTGATACTGCCGACCACAGCTTCCTTCTCGGTGCTCTTATCTGCGTCTCTGTGAATCTGTCACCTCCTCCCCTGTGTCTGATTGCAGACTGTGCTTGCTCTCTTTTCCTCTTCCTCCTTTAAAAGGGTGGCACTTCCAACATTTTGACTCTTCTCTCTCTCGGGAAGACATCATCCATTCAAACAGGTTACACTGTCATGTCTATGTAGGCGACTGCCCCGTGTTCATCACTGCCTGGGCTCTCCCTCAAACCTTCTAGTAACACATTTCTGCCTCCTGCTACAGCAAAGACTGTCATCCAAAGCTCAACTCACGGCTTTTACCTAAGAATTCAGCCATCTCACCCTCTAACCTAACATGCCCATTTCTGGTCATAAAATAGTCTTCTAGTCACTTGGTTCCAAAACAATGCATTTCATACTCTGCTTTCTCTTAAGATCGTATAAGCCTTTTCACCTTTTACAAAACAATGCATTTACCTTTGATGAAGGAGTTAAATCTTATTACCCTCTCCTTCAAAATGTCTCTTATATCCATCTCTTTATTTCTCTTCTTGCCACCGCTTCCATAGTTAGAATACTTATCATGTTGTTAGTCTGACCAAAGCAAACACAGACATCTGGTCTACCCAAGCACTCTTTCTTCCTCTAATTTGCCCATATTCCACCACCAGATTAACTTTCCTAGAATATCTCTAAGCATGTCACTCCTCTGTCCAAATTTTTTTGGTGACTTCTTAGTATCTACAAGATACACTGGAGGACTCTTTAATTCAACACCATCACATTTTTACTTCAACTACCTTGTTGGCTTCAACTCCAACTAGTAGCCTTCCTCAACCCTCAACCCTAATTGAGCTGTTTTATTGTTTCTAGAATGTCTCTTGAACTTCCTACCTCCATACTCTCACACCACTCCCCCATCTGGCATGCCCTCACCATTTCTCTCAACTTATCCAAAGACAAGACAGTTCAGACCGCTCCCCTTCCCAGGCCTCACCAACCCACAGAGATTACTCCCAACTCTCGGTTCCTATGGCACTCACCACAGGCACCACCCATGCAGTCACACAATGCACTTCGGCCTTGCAAAATCTCATCTTGTTGAATCGAATCACTTCCCTTTTGTGCTGTTTAACTTTTTACACATTGAGGTCATGATTTCATAACCAGGCTATATTCTGGGGGCAAGAACTACAGTTTATGCCTTGCCCTTCTTTGTGCTTTCCCCAGTATTAAGCTTGAGTTTGTTTGTTTTACATGGTAGGCACTCAGTTGGTGGAATAAAGTACTCTAACTGGCCTGGCCTCCAAGGCTACAGTCACAGGCACTTAGGAACCTGGACTCACGCTGGAAAATCAAGAAAAACCTGCCAATACTTTTCATGTTAACCAAGACTTAAAAAAAAAAAGGAGAAAAACCAAGCCAGAGCCCTGGCTGGTGTGGCTCAGTGGATTGAGGGCCAGCCTGCCAACTGAAAGGTCACCAGTTTGATCACCGATCAGGGCATATGCCTAGGTTGCAGGCCCAGGTCCCCAGAAGAGGGCATGTGAGAAGCAACTGATCGATGTTTCTTTCCCACATCAATGTTTCTCTCCTCCTCTTTCTCCCTCCCTCCCTTCTCTTCTCTCTCAAAATAAAAAAAATAAAAGCCCAAGGCAGAGGCAGCCAGGCAGCTCCTGTCCTGGGGTCAGCCGGCATTCGGGTCCCGTCTGTACCGCAGCCTGGACACTCTGACTTCCGAGCACCTGCTCTGAACCCCACCCTGAGCCCGACCCCCTAGATCTGACGGAGCCTTCCTTTCTCGTTTGGACACTGAACTCCAATATGTGTGACACGACTGTACCCCCTACACATCCTTCTGCTGACAAGACTGTGTTGGTTCACTCAGCCAGAACCTGTACTTGACCTGTTTCTTGCCACAGCTCTTTTTATTCAAGCCAACCGCCCCCTAATCCTGCAACAACACAGAAAGTGGTTCTTCCCTCATTATCTAATTCAATATCCGTATGGCTCTAGACATTGTATACAGTACAGAAATGACCAATCCCTTAGCTTTTAGCAACTTATCCACTGCAGAAGCAAAGCAAATAAGTCTTTTCTTTTTTTATCCTTGGTGTCTTGATTGTCCCTTAGTCCCCAGTCCTTGAGTACTTTTTTGGGGGGGGGTGTCAGTCAGAGCTGGCAGTGGAAGGAACACGTGGATGTTACACAGAGGAGGTGTGGCCCCACTTTCACTGCGTCTGAAGGAATCAGGTGGAAAGCCCAGGGTGCCGAAGTGGAATTTTACAGAGGAGAAAAAGATGGCTTATGACTTATTGGGATGGCAGCCAAGGGTCATAAAATTGTGGAAATTGTCACTGGCTACCTCCAGTGACAGATGCCCGGGATCGGAGCAGAGACCTGCAGGACGGCAAACGCCCTTTACCACACTGGGGGCCTTGGCCTCTGGCCCTGCCGGCATGGTCGCCGGTCACCACTGTGCTGCTCTAAGGTCAGCAGCTCCCGTTCCAAGGACGAGACGCAATTCCGACAGGGCCTCCTCTCTTCTCCAGCTTCACTGAGATGTAACGGGCACGTGACACCATGTGAGGTTAAGGTGTACAATGTGATGATTTGCACATGTATCTATAAACGTATATTGTGAAATGCTGGCCACAGTAAGGTTAGTTAACATATCCATTAGCTCACATAATTACCTGTTGTGTGTGTGTGTGTGTGTGTGTGTGTGTGTTGAGAACATGTAAGAGCCACACCCTTAGCAACTTTCAAGCATTCATACAATATTGTTAACTATAGTCACCATGCTGTATATATTAAATCCCAGAACTTACTTATCTAATAACTGGAAGTTTGGTAATACAGCCTTATTATCGTGATTCCATAGCAGAGGCCATTTTGGTTGGGGAAGCAAAGTATTATTATTACTACTTTAAAATCTCTAAAATATCTCATGAGGAATGAAACACTGCTGGTGGTTGCATAGCTTATTCTTAAAATAATCTTATGGTAACAACCAAACTTATGTGCAAACACTTCTCCTTGGGAGTATTTTTCTGGAACAATCCATCCCCCCCATCAGTTTTGCTCTCGGTGAGTCGAACCCTTGCCTTCTGCATTCCACTACTCCAATCGCCACGGCTCGGGGCTGGGGACGAGGAAGGGGAGCACCTTTGTGTTTTCCACTCGCGTTTCTGTCTGCAGGGACCTTTGTACTCATCAAGGCCTGCTCCCTCCTTGTCCGCCCATTTTCTCTTCG